GGATTTTTGAAAATTACCTTTCATGCAGTGTGTAATACAGCTCTAAGTGAATGAAAACATCATGCAAAGTTTTAAATCTGAAAGTGCACCGTGTATAAAGTTACTGTCTCTCAAAAGTCGGCTCTGAATCATTGAAACGAGTCTTTTTTTTTAAACGAATCCCAAGCCGTTTCATGTTGACGTCAACATGAAATATTAGCATATTGCTCGCCCAATTGTTGCACGCGCAGACCCGGGAAAACATTCATTCTTTGCCACTAGGTGCCGCTTTTGGAGCTGTAAAAATAGCTGTTTCCTAACGGCTGTACACAAAGCAGCACTGCGCTCACAAACCATTACAGGCCTGATGAAATGGAAATAAAATCGACCAAAAGGATCACCGCAGATTAGCCTCACGCAAAGGAGGGGTTTGGAAAAATGAATCGCTGAGGGAATCGTTTGGGAGTCGTTGAGCAAATAAGGTAAAAACCTTGCATGCATGTCAACCTGTTGTTGGGGTCTCCCAAAACCAAAATATGAACCTTTCATAACCCATAATAGGGGCACTTTACAAAACACGTCCAAAATCGCGTATAATGAGCGGACCTGGCAACACTGAAGGGTTAATAATGTTTGTGAGCTAGCGGCAGCGCGAGAGTTTAGACAGTATGGGTAAGTTAGCAGTGCTCTCGCTGTCTGTTGCAGCTCTTGCAGTTTTGATCGGAGAAAGAGTCATTACATTAAGGTTGGTTGATGTCCGATCGTATTTATGTTTTCTTTGCTGCTACTATTGACATATTAATTGGTGTTTATATGTAATTATTGCACATGACAATAATCATAGCAATATATATTATATAATATGACTATATATGTTTTGTCTTCTTTACAGGCATTTATCACTTTACTACAGAGAACTTACTCAGAACTACCTTCCGAACTGTCACCATATAGAGGGCATAGGTAAACCCTGTATTGATTGCCATGTTTTCTGGTCACGTGTCATTTCATGGACTGAATTTACCAGTCTGGACCTAATGTATTCTTATTTATGCAATTCTAAATGCAACGTAAAAAAAAAAAAAAAGGAATAGTGTAGGCTAGGTTTTGTAGTGTTTTGCTTTTATAATTTATTCTGTAATTGAGTTTCTGTCACTTGTGATGATCTGTAGTGTCATTTTTTTGCTGTTTTAAACAGAATGTGGGGCTGAAGATATCACAATACTTGAAAATGGACTGGCCTTTCTGAGCACTGTATGTCATAAAACTAAAAGCACCTGATTGTCGAAGTACATAGCTGTTAAAAGTTAATTATATACATTTGACCATTAAAAAATGCAACTATATTTTTAAATGCAACTATATTTATGCTTAGTGCGTGAAGCATCCAGACTTACCGTCCTATTCAGATGACCCTGGAAAGATCTACACCCTGAATCTGTTGGATTCTGAACTGAAAATTAAAGCACTAAACATCAAGGGAGACTTTGACAAAGACTCTTTTAATCCACATGGAATCAGCCTGTACACGGATGACAAAGGTTTGCCATTTTTATTCAATAAATGTATACATAAACAAGAAAAGTTTCATTCCTTATTGAACTGTCTATATATTGATATTACATAATATTACCTACACACATAAGAAGCAGTTATTGTGAAATGTTAAAACTATATTAAACAGATGATTGTGAATGAACCTAAGTGTATAAATTCTTCTCTCACTACAGATGGTGCCATATACCTATTTGTTGTTAATCATCCTCAAGGCAACAGTCAAGTGGAGATTTTCCGATTTGTTGAGGATGAAAATGCTCTTCAGTACATCAAGACCATCAAGCATGAACTCCTGCACAAGTGTGTGCTCCATTAAACCACAATATTGCTTTAACATACCCTAAACCTAAAATATAAATTCCAGTTTATTTATCTGCATTTGTTAGTGTGAATGATATAGTCGCTGTGGGGACCGAAAGCTTTTATGCCACCAATGATCATTACTTCACGAATGGGATTCTCAAGTTTGTGGAGCCATTTCTGTCTTTGCCCTGGTGTGACGTCGTCTACTACAGCCCTCAGACCGTGCAGGTTGTGGCAGGGGGCTTCTTGCTCGCCAACGGCATAAATATCTCCACTGACAAAAGGCAAGTTTTAGAAAAAAAAATCAAGATTTGCATATGCATGTACTATTATCAAATCATTTATTGCGTAATCATGTCCTGTTTATAACCTGTAATTTCAGGCATTTGTATGTGGCAGATCTTCTGAAGCACAAAATTGTTGTCTTGAAAATACAAAAAAACACTGTATTGTCCCATGTAAAGGTAAACAACAAACTACTTGAAATGTTCACCCTTATTTTATACAGAATCATTTTTCATAGGTTAAAGTATAGAATTTCAGCTTTATTGTGTTAGCTTCAAATAAAACAACAATGAATCTATTTATTAGTTTTTTAAATAACAATAACAACAACTACTCTGACTGCTATTGCTAATATTATGGCTTGTTAATTTTTCTTACCCAGGAGGTTGATGTGGGGTCACTCTGTGACAACATTGAGGTGGACCGTGAATCTGGAGATCTATGGCTGGGCTGCCACCCAAACGGTCGCAATTGGTTACTTCAAGATCCGAATGATCCACCTGGTTCTGAGGTGTGTGAATATATGCAGCATATTTAAATGCTTGAGCTGTGGCCTAGTGTTTAGTGCCCATGCTCAAATATGATGAGCTGTCATGTTCCCATGTCTTTCCCCTTTCTCTTCCCACTGTTTCCTCACTCCTCTCAGCTGTTTCTGAGTTACAAATCTGTAACATATCCATGTTCTCCTGTAGGTTATCAGGATTGAGAACATCCTCTCTGAAAAGCCCAAGGTGACTCAGGTATATGCAGACGATGGCAGTGTGATCATTGCTTCTTCAGTGGCAACACCATATGGAGGAAAGCTGCTTATAGGAACAGTTTATCAGAAAGCTCTGATCTGTGACCTTAAGTAGTGTATATACTTACTGGAAAGAATAAATATGGGCTCAGCTGTTTGAAAGATTTTGTCTGAATAGTGTCATTTCAGAGACTACATATCAAAGACAAGAGCAACTAATAATAGGCAATAATTAACTTGAAATTTCAGTTGCACCTTTTGTTCTGTAAAGTGAGAAAAATCAATTCACACAATAGGCCTATATATTTGACTTGACAGACTGCTTGGATTGATTATAAACTCTTCTATCTATCTACTAGATATGTGAGCTTAAAGCAAGAGTTAAAGGGGTCATATGATGCTGCTAAAAAGAACATTAGGTTGTGTATTTGGTGTAATGAAATGTGTTTATGCGGTTTAAGGTTCAAAAAACACATTATTTTCCACATACTGTACATTATTGTTTCTCCTCTATGTCCCGCCTTTCTGAAACGCGTCGATTTTTACAAAGCTCATCGGTCTGAAAAAGCGAGGTGTGCTGTGATTGGCCAGCTATCCAGTGCATTGTGATTGGCCGAATACCTCAAGCGTGTGACTAGGTTCACTAGGCTCGGCATATGTTTTCAATAGCTATCACTAGTTGATTTGTAAAAATATATAGCCTATATTATCAGTTTGTGATGTCCATGCAACAGAGAACCTTTACTAACAAATTCCCATGGCAATTAATAACTATTTTATTATTACACCCCACCAACAGTTAGGTTAGGTTTAACCTTCACGTTAAGGCCTACTAAAAAAAACACTTTTCTGTACGAATCATATGGTATGAACGTAATCACTACCTCGTAAAATAGTTCATTTTCTTTCTCTGGGTTGACTTACCATATTCTGAGTGAACTTTACAAACAATATCCATGTTATTCACATCTTGGCTGGTTTGACAGAAATAAAAAACAAAACAAATAAATGCAATAGCATGTAACCAATAAGCAGAACTGAATTCTGGAAATTATCCCCAAAACAAAAACCACGACTGTGCGTTTGTAGTACAAAAATCCGCGCATAAAAAGCGGACCTGGCAACACTGAAGGGTTAATAATGTTTGTGAGCTAGCGGCAGCGCGAGAGTTTAGACAGTATGGGTAAGTTAGCAGTGCTCTCGCTGTCTGTTGCAGCTCTTGCGGTTTTGATCGGAGAAAGAGTCATTACATTAAGGTTGGTTGATATGTACGATCGAATTGATATAATAATGACTTGCGATTACTGTTATTTGCTTACCAAACTTTATAACTATTTCAGTAAATGTTTTCTTTGACTGCACGCTGTTCTAATCTTTGCTGCTACTTACTGACATATTAATTAGTGTTTATACATAATTACTGAACATGACAATAATCATAGGTATATCTATTATATATGTAGTTTTGTCTTCTCCACAGGCATGTATCACTTTCCTACAGAGAACTCACCCAGAACTACCTTCCTAATTGTCACCATATAGAGGGCATAGGTAAGTAAACACTGAATTGATTGCCTTATTTTCTGGTCACGTGTCAGTTTGCTGGACTGAATTTACTAGCTTCGACCTAAGGCAGTGTTACTTATTCAATTATAAGTGTGAGATTCATGTAAAATAATGTTTTACTGGTGAAGTGTAAGTTTTGCAGTGTTTTGCTTTTATAATTGTTCCTGTCATTGAGTAAAGAGCATTTGAAGAAGCATATGTGTAGGCTTCTGACACTGCAAATGCAGATGTGGTGGTGATCTGTAGTGTGTTATTTTTGTTTTAAACAGAATATGGTGCTGAAGATATAACCATACTTGAAAATGGACTGGCCTTTCTGAGCACTGTATGTCATAACAACAAAATCATTACTGAGTAATCTCATGCTAGCAACAGTCGTTTTTACTATTTTACTATTAATTTGACCGTTAAATGCAACTATATTGTTAAACATGTTCAAATTACTAAAACATAGGGCTTGAAATATCCAGGCGTACCATCCTATTCCGATGACCCTGGAAAGATCTACACCCTGAATCTGATGGATTCTAAAATGAAAATTAAAGCAATGAACGTCAAGGGAGACTTTGACAAAGACTCTTTTAATCCACATGGAATCAGCCTGTACACGGATGACAAAGGTTTGCTTTTTTTTTATTCAATGAATGTATACATAAACAAGAAAAGTTTCATTCCTTATTGAATTTTCTATACTTACATTGATATCACATCATTTATAATACCTACACACACAAGAAGTAGTTATTGTGAAATGTTAAAACTATATTAAACGGATGATTGTGAATGAAACTAAAAAAAGTATAAATTCTTCTCTCACTACAGATGGTGCCGTATACCTATTTGTTGTTAATCATCCTCAAGGCAACAGTCAAGTGGAGATTTTTCGATTTGTTGAGGATGAAAATGCTCTTCAGTACATCAAGACCATCAAGCATGAACTCCTGCACAAGTGTGTGCTCCATTAAACCACAATATTGCTTTAACATACCCTAAACCTAAAATATAAATTCCAGTTTATTTATCTGCATTTGTTAGTGTGAATGATATAGTCGCTGTGGGGACCGAAAGCTTTTATGCCACCAATGATCATTACTTCACGAATGGGATTCTCAAGTTTGTGGAGCCATTTCTGTCTTTGCCCTGGTGTGACGTCGTCTACTACAGCCCTCAGACCGTGCAGGTTGTGGCAGGGGGCTTCTTGATTGCCAACGGCATAAATATCTCCCCTGACAAAAGGCAAGTTTCAGGAAAAAAATCAAGCTTTGCATTGATAAAAGCACAGTATAGTGCAATATTACCATCAAAGCATTATTGCGTAATTATGTCCTGTTTATATGTTGTTAATACGTTTAAAATGTCATTTCAGGCATTTGTACGTGTCAGATATTCTGAAGCACAAAATTGTTGTCTTGGAAATACAGAAAAACACTGTATTGTCTCATGTAAAGGTAAACATCAAACTACATAAAATGTTCACACCTTATTTTTTCCCATACAGATAAAAAAAAAAAAGTATAGAATTTTAAGTTGTGTTAGCTTCAAACACAACAAACATGAAACAATTTAATAGTTTTTTTACTTAGTAGAAAAAGAGAACTACTCTGACTGCTATTGCTAATATTACTGCATGGTATTTTTTCTTACCCAGGAGGTTGATGTGGGGTCACTCTGTGACAACATTGAGGTGGACCGTGAATCTGGAGATCTATGGCTGGGCTGCCACCCAAACGGTCTTAAATGTGTATTTCATGATCCAAATGATCCACCTGGTTCTGAGGTGTGTGAATATATGTATTGTGTTGTGTTTAGTGCCTATGCTCAAATATGATGAGCTGTCGTGTTCGAGTCTTGCTCACATCATGTTCTCATCTCTTATCCTTTCTTTTCCCACTATCTCCTGTCTTATCTCAATTGTCCCTGAGTTACAAATCTATAATATAACAATGTTCTCCTGTAGGTTATCAGGATTGAGAACATCCTATCTGAAAAGCCCAGGGTGACTCGGGTATATTCAGATGACGGCAGTGTGATCATTGCTTCTTCGGTGGCAACTCAATATGGAGGAAAGCTGCTCATTGGAACCGTTTATCAGAAAGCTCTGATCTGTGACCTTAAATTGTGAATGTACTCACTACTGTACGGGGAAGAATAAATATTGGCTTAAGTGTTTGAAAGAATTTGTCTGAATAGAGTCATTTTAAAGGCAACACAAAACAAAGTCATGGCCTTTTGTAGGGTAAAGTTTGAAAAATCAATCCATACTATATAAGTTTGGCTTAACACAGGCTGATTGGTTTGCAAACACTATCTACTAGATATGTGAGCTTGAAGTATAACTTGACTTCGCATATGTTCTCAGTAGCTTTCTGACACTTGATTTTTATTTCTTGAGTTGTGTAAAAAATATATTCATCAATTTATAATGTACGTGCAACACAAATAAACATTTACCAACACACTCTCACTGAAATGAGCAAACAATTTGTGAAAATGGACAATAGTTACTGATTCGAATGAATTTGTATTTTCTATATAACAGCAGGGAATCAGGGATGCAGAGCACATTAGTAAGGCCGCTATATGCAGAGCGGTAAATAAAGTGTGCCTCACTCTTGCGCTCTTTCAGAGAATTTTTGTGTAGTTTCCTGAGCACAACCCCATCGAAAATGAAGTTGATTACTGTATGGAATGGAATGATGCCAGAAGGAAGGGTAGTTGGAGATAGGCCTAAATGTCGTAACCACCACCACAGCTGTTAAATAAACACAAATTATTCACAATTTATTTGGTCATCTTTATTTTTTACAAAAAACAAAAGCAAGTTATTCTTTTTCCTGTTGGATTTTAATATTCTTCCAATAGGCTACTTGGTATTGTGGCCATCTCCTCTTCATCTGCTCTTGATTATTTTGCGAGCCTTCTTCTGGCTGAGTAGAGGTCAAATGTTAATTTCATTAGGCTACTCTAATTAAGAAATGCGAAATGTAACAGTAATCCGTGGTCACGATTTGTTAATCCGAGGTAACAGTTTAAGAATTCGTGAGTACGGTTTATAAACTGAGGGGACGGATTGCAAAACCGTCGCCACGGATTGTTTTTTTTTCTCCTACAGGTGACTTCCCGGGCTCCGTAATTGAGAACATTTAATTATCTGAAAAGAAATGCATAACGTAAATACTGTCATCTGTAGATTGGCCAAGCACCAAAAAAAAAAAAAACGTCAGGAAAAACCAGCATTATGGAAAAAAGCGACTTCCCATCTAGAGAGATACAGGCTGCTACTTCAACATGCTACTTTAAAGTCCAAGGCGCTACTTTAAAATCCAATGTGCGTATAATACGAGTACAAGGCATGGTGTTGCCAAGTCCGTGATTTCCCTGCGGATTTTGGCTACTTTGACGCTGCAGCAGGTTAAATCGATCTCCCCGGAACGCGATTTTGACAAAAGAGGAGATACAGGCTGCTACTTCAACATGCTACTTTATTGGATGTGTTAGCTTTAGATAAACAACCATGAAAGCGCACTGTGACAGGTTTTTAGGAGAACACACTGCTAATGTGTTAATATTGTTAATATTACTGCATGGTATTTTTTCTTACCAAGGAGGTTGATGTGGGGTCAGTCTGTAACCGTGAATCTGGAGATCTATGGCTGGGCTGCCACCCAAATGGTCTCAAATTCATGCTTAGTGATCCGATTGATCCGCCGGGCTCTGAGGTGCGTGTGTGTGTGTATTCTGTGCATGTACAGGTGCATCTCAATAAATTAGAATGTTGTGGAAAAGTTCATTTATTTCAGTAATTCAACTCAAATTGTGAAACTCGTGTATTAAATAAATTCAATGCACTCAGACTGAAGTAGTTTAAGTCTTTGGTTCTTTTAATTGTGATGATTTTGACTCACATTTAACAAAAACCCACCAATTCACTATCTCAACAAATTAGAAAACATATTTTCCAGAAGGCCAACAATTCACTAAAATGTTTTTTTTTTTTTTTTGGTCTTATGAAGTATTCTAATTTGTTGAGATGTGAATTGGTGGGTTTTTGTTAAATGTGAGCCAAAATCATCACAGTTAAAAGAACCAAAGACTTAAACTACTTCAGTCTGTGTGCATTGAATTTATTTAATACACGAGTTTCACAATTTGAGTTGAATTACTGAAATAAATGAACGTTTCCACGCCATTCTAATTTATTGAGATGCACCTGTATGTAGCAAATAGATATTTATTAAAGAATGTGTATTCATTTTATTTGTTGGCAATTTGACATTCCTATTTTTCTCCATTATTTACTGTTTGCTCTCAGCTGTAAAACAGTAAAAATCAATAATTCAATGTTCTCCTGTAGGTTATCAGGATTGAGAACATCCTATCTGAAAAGCCCAGGGTGACTCGGGTATATAGGAACTCATAGGAACTGTTTATCAGAAAGCTCTGATCTGTGACCTTAAATTGTGAATATATTCACTTACGGGGAAGAATAAATATTGGCTCAAGTGTTTGAAAGAATTTGTCTGAATAGAGTCATTTTAAAGGCAACACAAAACAAAGTAAAGTACTTTTGTAGGGTAAAGTTTGAAAAATCAATCCATATGGTATAAATTTGGCTTAACACAGGCTGATTGGGTTGAATTGGAAAGAATAAATTAATATTTGACTTGGATAGGGCATATAATTTCAGATAATGGCTTTTTTTCAACAAAGAAATTAAAGAGTGGACATGCTAATTATATTTGGCTTGTTGATTTCTAAAATGTCAATTAGTGCCAAAATTTTTCTGAGGTGACATGCTGTACTTGAATTTTAAAAGTTTTCAAATCATCTCACGAGTTTACATTTCATTTGGGTAGAGTGAAACTTGTAGTTTTGAGTTAACTTATGATTTGATTTTACAATAATATTTTAATAGTATATGATGTAAATGAAAATGAATAATTTATGATCATTTATGAGTGAACCTTACAAGCATTATCCCACCAAACTGATAGTTTGATAATAACAGATAATACTGTAATGTGTTGCAACTGTTGAAGTGTTTTGGATGTCTTTTTCTCATGTGTCTCTTCCTCACACAGGATATAAGAAATTAAAAAGGGGGTTGTACTTCTTTATGTTTGTGTTGTTCCTAGTGAAAAATGAAGCATCAAGGATTTTTTTTTTTTTTTTAAAGGCTGGTCATTTTTGATTGATAAAACCAAGAATGCCCAAATTGTACCTTGTAATATGAATGAGTGAGATTTTGTGCAACTCTGAATATAATATAATGCAAACTGTATATTGAAGAAAAGGAAGGCAGTGTGGTTGTCACGTGTTTTGAAAGAGAAAGGGCATCCAACTAAGCAAGCCAAAGGCCTTTTTCTTAAAGACTAAAATAATCTGTGTTCAAACCCCTTGCTACTAAAGCATTACTAGAAAATCAAATAATTGTAGCCTGTGTGTGTGTTGAAAAATTTAAGGGGGTCTGAATACTTTCCGTACCCACTGTAAGAGGAACAATATATTTTTTGACATTGTAAATAATTTATTAACTGGCACTTTAATGCTGAGTGTGATTTAGTTAAGTTGATTACTCTGGAATCATCCTTCTGTCCAATGATTAGCACAGTCCTGTGAGTTCTGTGTATATGTTCCTGACTTAATGTAGCTTCTGATTTTTATTTTACATGATTATGAAACAAATCAGCTCTCAGTATTTTATGTTGATTTGCATTTTACACACAAAATGTTGTGCATGATACCAAGTTGAGTGTTCATTAAAACCGATGACTGAAAAGTAATGTTACTGTGAATTTTTCTTCTTTGTAGAACAGTAAAGTTATGAGCGGCATTTCAATGAAATAGAAAACTAAGCATCACATCATAGTCACAATCTAGAGGAAAATCTATGATTCTGTCCATATGAGAGGAAAAAGACTAAACAGGAATAGCAAAAAAAAGAGAAAAAGTGAGCACTCCTTACTTACAGCTGATTATCAGCATGAGTAAGGGCTTTATTCCAGTCTCAAGTGTGCTGCTGACTAAAGTCGTAAACAAAGTCGTAAGTGCTGGGCTCTTTGGGAACAGGAGGAGGGATGTCAGGAATCTGAATGTTTTCGAGGTCCAAAAGGCGAAGTTTCAGCTCCATAGTAACCAGAGTGTCCATATCTGATTTTGTGAGCTCACTTGTCATCTCTTTTGCCAAAAGAGCATTCAAGCCATCAGTCCAAATGCAGTACTAATGAGAAAAAAAATAGTAAGAGAGTATTATTAAGCATTCAAGCAGTGCATGAGTGATAAAACTGATATCACAGTATTAAAGAAATACTCTTAATGGCTTTGATGTCCACATGATGAGGTGATACTGTTAGCTTACGAAAAACAAATGTTCTTTATCTTTCCACGAAACCAAAATCAATTCTAAATGATTAAATGTAATGTAATGTAAATTCTATATGACTGTCCTGGGGCCTATTTCATAAAACAAGTTTACCAAATAAGCCAGGCTTATTTCAGTTAGTCTGACTTATTTTGAAACAAATCAACTGACAATAAGTTAGACTAACTGAAATAAACCTGGCTTATTTGGTAAACTTGTTTTAATGAAACAGGCCCCTGGCCTATAGGCTTAGATCTCTGCCACAATTCTGCGTGTGAAAGATCATATTTTGAGCGCACAAAAGTGCACTTTGCACGCGCGCGATCTGAGTTTTGTGGAGAAAATGTTCGTTTCGCAAAGAAAAAATTATTTCGAGCGCACGAAAATCAATTTTGCATTTATCTGGAAGATAAATTCTTCAAACAGTGGTACAAGAGGATGTGGTGTTGGTCCTTCAAGAGTCACTCTCAACTTATCTGTCTATAAAGCATATATATATAAATCAGTTTTCAAGCATTTTACTACACTTCAGTATGTGGTTCTTATTAAGTAGGGGTAATTTTTTAGGATTCTATACTTAACCTAAGTCTCTGAGAACCTGACACCTTGTACTTCTGGAGACTCCAGGTAGGTTGCAGTTCTGGAAAATCGTGGCGCTGGAGACTAAATGGTTCCTGGTGATTTCACAGCTAATTCTTCACCTTAATTCCTAATTCTTTTGCAGTTAACATGCATCTTTTCTTCTCCACATGTTTTTGACTGACCCTGCTGACCCACTGAGCATTTTGCTGTCCAATGGTTATGCCTTAACTTTGCAATTTCTAGTATTGCATTAGTTTTGAATATTTCTCATGGGCATTTAATAATTTTTGACTTCAGTCTGAGTTAAATCTCTTTTTTGGCTAATTTTATCTGTAAAAGAAAATCTGCAAAAATAAAATTTCTGTGAGACAATTTCACAAACAGCATGAGTGAATCACCGCGCGTGCTCTCTCTTTCTCTCAGAATGTGCAAATGGCTTCAAATCATGTCGCGTCTGCATCAGTGGTGTAGTCTAGTTTTTTTTGTAGTGGGTATACTCTGATTTTTCCCGCAGCCTCATAGCTACTCACCACCCCAAAGCAACACCCTATCATCACCACACTCACTAATGCATACAATATGCATATACATGTAACTGAGAGCATTCTGAAAGACTGCTTATGTGATATCAACATGTCAATTTATTATAAGCAACAGAAGACTTTAACAGCCAATGACATTTACAGCTGGGGAGACTGGACTGATTTCTTACTGTTTAGTGTTAATCGT